TAACTCTGACTTTCAAAATAAATAAATAAATAAATCTTGAAGAATAAGGAGGAGGAGGAGGAGGAGGAGGAGAGGAGGAAGTAACTTCCATGTGCAAGTAGCCCCCAAGGCTGACTGAAGCCTACTGGCACATGATACCAACCAGGAACTTGGATGCAAGCTGAATATGCAACCCAACCAGGCCAAACACCACGGTGACTCCAACCAGTCCCTCATCACCTGACTGGAGGCCAACGTGTACCCATCCTTATCCTTTTCTCTCCTTATTGCTGACTCATCTTTCTTTGTAATCTCCTTAAAGCCCCAAAGCACCCTCATTCAATAGGAGGTTAGTTGTGCAGATATGAGCTTGCTATCTCCTCATCTATCAGTAGATTACATTTTCTCTTTCCTGGGGCCAGCGCTGTGGCGTAGCAAGTAAAGCCACCACCTGCAGTGCCGGCATCCCTTATGGGTGCTGGTTCTAGTCCCAGCTGCTCCACTTCTGATCCAGCTCTCTGCTATGGCCTGGGAAAGCAGTAGAAGATGGCCCAAGTCCTTGGACCCCCGCACCTGCATGGGAGACCTGGAAGAAGGTCCTGTCTCCTGGCTTCGGATTGGCGCAGCTCTGGCCGTTGTGGCCGATTGAAGAGTGAACCAGCAAATGGAAGACCTCTCTCTCTGTCTCTCTCTCTCTCTGTCTCTCTCCCTCTCACCGTGTAAATTTGCCTTTCAAATTAATACATAAATCTTAAATTATTTTTTCTTTCCTTTATCCTCAAATTGTATCCATGCTATTTTGATTGGACACTGCTGACAAGATCCAAGCTTTTGGTAACAATCCCAGCTCCACTCCTGAGTCCAGCTTCCTGCTAATGTGCACCCTGGGAGGCAGCAGATGATGGTTCAAGTACTTAGGTCCTTGTCACTCAAAATGGGAGAACTGGATTGACTTTTTGGCCCCCAGCTTTGATCTGGCCTAGCCCCTGTTATTGCAGGCATTTGGGGAAGGAGAGAGACAGAGAGAGGAGAGAGAGAGAGACAGGTCAGAGATGAGTCATTTGGAGAAGGAGAGATAAAAAGAAAGAGAGAGGTCAGAAGTGAAAGGAAGTGAACACCTCCAGGGAAGATGGTCAGTCAGTGGAGGAGGGGAGTTGTTAGATAATTGCCTGAATCTCACTCCTCCTAATTGCAGAAGCATTTGTGCACTGATGAAAAGCCCGGTGGAGCTATCCCATCAGCTGCAGCAGCACTGTCCATAAGATGCTGTGCATTCGACTTTCCTGCCTGCTTGTCTTCCTGTCGGCAGCTCCTCACTCTCGCCTCCTGGGGTTGCTCCCTAAACGACCTCCCTGTTGCCAGTGCCCTTTCTCTGTCTCTGCTTGAGGTTGACAGGCAACCAATAGAGTCTTCTGGAAAACTGACCCCAGGGACTGCACCACCACCAAGCTTCTCCCTGTCCCTCAATCTCTTCTTCTCTAAAGGCACTAACTTTAGAGAGGCTTAAATCTGTGCCTTGTACCAGAAAGAAAAATCCCAGAGAAGGACCCATACTTGATGAACTTGGGCCAGTGTCCATGACAGGTACAACGGGAGACAAGGCCCTGCTCACTGATTCTTCTTGGTCAGAGTCCCAGTCCTGGATCAAACCAGGCGGCAGTGCCAAGGACTCCAGGCCTGGCCCCCAGGAGCTGCCACTGGGTTTCAGGGCATTCCCAGAGAGAGTGGGATAATTAAGTATCCGACACCATCACCACCAACACCTCCTTCTCTTGTTTCCTCTTTGTTCTTTCTCAGTTTGCTTTGCTAAATAAATATTGCAGGAGGCTATTGTTCTGGACCAAGCCCTTGCTCTGGGCCACAACAGAGGAGACTGACAACCTAAAGGGAGTCACTGATGCTACAGCCCTGCCTATCTGACCTTTTTAGAAGCCGGGAGCAGAGCCCTAACAGCCAAATTTCCCACGGTTTCAATTGACATGATAATGGGTCAAGCCTTCCACAAAAGCAGTAACCTGAGGCAACTCCGTGTTGACCAATCGGTTCTGTTCCCATTGTTCTATCTCCCTGGCCCTGCCTTACAAGGAAAGGAACTTTGAAATGACCAATCTGCCTTTTGTTCTTTTGCGAATGCTTTCTTCGGCTTTCTCTGTCTATAAAACCAACCTTGTTCTCCTCCCATTGGGACACTTAATGTATTTTACAGAATCAAGTGTTACCTGATTCTAGAATAAAAAATGAAGCCAATTTAGATCTTCACAAGGTTGCGATTCTATCCTTGACCCCTCCTGCTGGATCCGCCAATGCTCCTGCTCCTGGGGCAGCTGCAAACCCCACGGTTAAGGTGCCAGTTAGCACACTCTTCACGTCAGCGTGCCTGGGTTCAGGTTCAGTCTCGGTTCCCAGCTCTAGCTTCCTGCACCGTTGGAGGAGGAGGTGACAGATAGCTCAAGTAGTTGGGTCTCTCCTGCCCATGAGGGAGACATGGATTCAGTTTCCAAATCCAGGCTATTGTGGGCCCTTGGGGAGGGAACCAGAGATGAGCACTGTGCCTCCCAAATAAAAATGCAGGTGTTCCAGTAAGTCCCGTCCTCACTCTCCAACTTACTCCGAGTCATCTCATTCCTTGATAGACTAGCGTATTCCTTCCAACATTTAATCTATGCCAAAAATGTAGCCTAAGGGAATCCTGGGCATCCCATCCCTCTTGGTAGCCTTCTTCTGGGGATGAAGCAGCAGTGAATGACTTCTGGGAAAGAGAACTCCGTCCTCCTGTTGCTGGGTAGGTGGGGAAAGGACAGGATGGGAGGGGAGCTTCAGTGTGAGGTCCACATGGTGGGGTGGGGTGGAGGGCAGAGCAGTGAGACAGAAACACTGCAGTTCCAAACGACATGGTGGGTTTTCAGAATGGGCTTGGGAGAGGACTTATGCCCGGTTCAAGCTGCCTCCTCACCAGGAATGTGAACTTTGGTGACCTCTACCCTTTCACCTCAGGCATCTGGAAGACCTAAACAATCGATAAGGACATAGGATATCCTCCCCAGAGACTCAAGATGCATGTCAACAGGTTATTGGACTTGCTTTGTGGACATTTTCGCTAAGTATAGATATTTGTTCTCTGTCCTCTATCCTGTGCTGGTCATGCAGCCCCGGTTCTTTCTCAAAGGATGAAGAATTTCTACTGCTTTGTAAGAGATCAACACTGCTGGCCCCTTTCCTGACTTCCTCAGAACATGCATTCAGTGCTGTCTCAATCTGTGTCCCAAACTGCAACTCCTAAGATCCTAAAAGAGGGGCTGGCACTGTGGCGTAGTGGGTAAAGCCACCGCCTGCGATGCCAACATCCCATATGGGTACCAGTTTGAGACCTGGCTGCTCCACTTCTGACCCAGCTCCCCGCTAATTGCCTGGGAAAGCAGTGGAAGATGATGCAAGTCCTTTGGCCCCTGCACCCACTTGGGAGACCCAGAAGAAGCTCCCAGATCCTGGCTTTGGATCAGCCTAGTTCTGGCTATTGCGGCCATCTGGGGAGTGAACCAGCGGATGGAAGACCTCTTTCTCTCTCTGTAACCCTGACTTTTAATAAATAAATAAATATTTTTAAAAAACATCCCCAGGCCGGCGCCGCGGCTCACTAGGCTAATCCTCCGCCTAGCGGCGCCGGCACACCGGGTTCTAGTCCCGGTCGGGGCGCCGGATTCTGTCCCGGTTGCCCCTCTTCCAGGCCAGCCCTCTGCTGTGGCCAGGGAGTGCAGTGGAGGATGGCCCAGGTGCTTGGGCCCTGCACCCCATGGGAGACCAGGAAAAAGCACCTGGCTCCTGGCTCCTGCCATCGGATCGGCGCGGTGCGCAGGCCGCAGCGCGCCGGCCGCGGCGGCCATTGGAGGGTGAACCAACGGCAAAGGAAGACCTTTCTCTCTGTCTCTCTCTCTCACTGTACACTCTGCCTGTCAAAAAAAAAAAAAAAAAAAAAAAATAAATAAATAAAAAAAAAAAAAAAAAAAAAAAAAAAAAAAAAACATCCCCAAAGAGTGCTCTTACAATTTCCAAGCTTGAATCCATGGTCAAGTTGCCTCACTAGTGGGTCCCTGCCTCTTGAGCTGACACGTTTCTATAAGGCTTGAGCCAACCAGAGTCAGGTGCCACGTCTGTGACTTGAGCTGGAAGCCTGGGACTCTAGCCACACTAGCAACCGTGAATTCTCTCAAACTGGCTTTCCTGGGCTCCAGACTTCCCAACAGTTTCCAACCCTGCTGCTCCTCGTCATAGATCTCCCTGCAATTCACTCACTTTTTTTTTTTTAATATTTATTTGAAAGTCAGAGTTACACAGAGAGAGGAGAGGCAGAGAGAGAGAGAGAGAGAGAGAGAGGTCTTCCATCCACTTGTTCACTCCCCAATTGGCCGCAACTGCCGGAGCTGCGCCAATCCGAAGCCAGGAGGCAGGAGCTTCTTCCGGGTCTCCCACGTGGGTGCAGGGGTCCAAGGACTTGGGCCATCTTCTACTGCTTTCCCAGGCCACAGCAGAGAGCTGGATCAGAAGTGGAGCAGCCTGGACTAGAACCGACGCCCATATGGGATGCCGGCGCTTCAGGCCAAAGCGTTAACCCGCTGCGCCACAGCGCCAGCCCCTACAACTCACTCACTTAAGAAGTAAGGACCGGGTGCCTCCCGTCATACCAAGCTCTTGAAGATGCTGCAGATAGAACAGTCACTGAAACACAGCTGGGCTCCTGTTTTCCATACAGGAATCAGAGAAACAACTCTTTTTTGAATGAGTGAAACAATGAGTACTGAAGGTTAGGAACCTGATCAATGTTGAGTGGCCCACTTATCTATAGAAATCACACCAGAGTCCCACATACACTCAACAAAGGAACGGGGGACTCTTGGTGTCTGCGCCCCGGAGCCGAGTCCAGAATGGTGGAGGAACAGGGAGGAGGGCCTGCGTTCTGGGGACCGCCTCATTTACTCCTCACCACCCGGGAGGTTCTCTGAGGATGGCAGCACGCCTGGGATCAGCGGCCGGGGCGGCGCCCAGGGCCCCGGGGAGCTGTGCTGACCCCCTGGGTGAGACCTGGACACTGTGACCTTGAGCCAGTCCTGTCTCCCTCGTCCTGGCCCCGGAGCTTGCAGGGTCTGACTTTGGGGGATTGCCCTGGGCTTCAGTGGCTGCTTGGGGGAGTCCAGCAGATGAGGGTGGTGACTGTAACCAGCACGGAGCGGTCAGCAGTCAAGAAGGAGGGGCGGCAGTGGCGGCGGCGGCGACCCTGGGGAGAGGGAGCTCCGTGAGCGCCCGTCGCCACCCTCCCTACGCTCCCGCCCGGCTCTGCATCTCTGCCCCCGACAGGGCGCCTCCCCCACTGCTCCAGGCAAGAGAGGCCACTGTTCCCAGGTGGACGGCGCGACGTGACTTGGGCATCTGCTCTCTCGGCCGAAACTCGCGGTTCGGCGCGGGGCTTCGTCTCCACTTCCCGGCCCGTCCCCCCTCGGCTCGCGACCACTTGGTCTGCGCCGGCCGCATTCTCTGTGTGCCGGGCCCGCCCGCACTGCGGGGGAGAGGCCGGGAGCCGCCCACGCGCGCTCATCGCACGGCGTCGCCGTCTCCCTGGTACGCGCGCGGGCGGCGCGGCGCGGCGCGCAGAGCCGGGCGGGCGGCCATGGCGCGGCTCGCGGGGAGGTAGCGGGACCGGCCCTGGGGAGGGCGGCGCGGCCATGGCCCGGCGGCGGCGCCGCGCCTGCATCGCGCTGTTCCTGGTGCTGCTTTTCGCCTTCGGCACCCTCATGGGCCTGCGCACGCTCAAGGCTCCGGACGGACTCCCAGCGCTGGGCCCGGGCCTGGAGCTGGCGCCCTTTGAGCGGCGGCCGGAGGGGGCCCCGGCGCCCGCCGCCCGGGCCCCTGCCGCGCCTGCCGCGCCGCCGCCGCCGCCACCTCCGCCCCGCACCGCGGAGCCGGGCAGCCCCCCGGGGCCGGCACCCGCGGAGGCCGAGCCCGCCCCCGGGCGGAGTCTACGCGTGTACTCGGACCTACACGCCTTCTACTACTCGTGGTACGGCAGCCCGCGGCGCGAGGGCCGCTACATCCACTGGGACCACGTCATGGTGCCGCACTGGGACCCCAAAATCTCAGCCAGCTACCCTCGCGGCCGCCACAGCCCCCCGGACGACCTGGGCTCCAGCTTCTACCCGGAGTTGGGGCCCTATAGCTCCCGGGACCCCGACGTGCTGCGGGAGCACATGACCCAGCTCCAGGAGGCCGCCATCGGTGAGCGCCCCCACTGGCCCGCCAGGCTGCTCAGCCCTTCCGACCCATCCCACCTGGGCCCACCAGGAGGCAAGCCCCTCCCCTCTGCTCCCCGTTCTGGTCTTCAGACTCCCTTCGCCCCCTGCAGCCTCCAATACTGGGGCTTTCTGTGTGCCCAAGCGGTCCTGGGTCGCGAGTAGGGAGGGAGGCACCTTCCAGTCTGTCGGCGATGGGGAGGGAGGCTGAGCTGGCCTCGGCGCCTTGCACTCCAGGCACAGCCGGGAGCAGCAGCTTGGCTGTAGAGAGGAAAGTTTGCCACCGAGTTGTGTAATGGACTCTGCTGTGTTTGCCGTGGGGGACAAGGTCCTGGGAGCCTCCTTTGCAGAGAGGGGTGGGGAGATTCACTGGCTTCGGGTTTTGTCCCTGAATTCCTCTGGATTTCAGTGCGTCTTCATGTACCTGGGGAGGGATTGAGTGAGGGGGAACCGGTGGGAAGTATACAAAGCTACACCTGACTGTGGCCGTCCTTGAGGGTGCAGGCAAGGGAAGACCTCAGAGGTAGACTGTGGCTCCCAGTCCCCATCCCGCCCCCTTTGTTATATTTGCTGATCACTGAAAAGCTCCTTTCAGGCCCAGGGCGCTATGGTCCCTGCCATGGCGGCGCTTCAGCACCGCTGGCGTGGACAGCTCCGGGGCACCGGCTCTAGGATCCCATGTGTGGGAAGTGCACGTGGCAGGAGCCTTGCTAAAAGGTTTTCAGAAACCGCTTTGCAGTTGGCGATGGTTTGTGAGGAAAGAAATCTCCGCAGAGGGGGTGCTGTGTCTCTCTGAAGTGGCCTCTGCGTTGTATCTCAGGCGTCCTGGTCCTGTCCTGGTACCCACCTGGCATGGCTGATGATAATGGGGAACCCTCGGATGACCTGGTGCCTGCCATTCTGGACACCGCCCATCAGTACAACATCCAGGTGAGTCTGCAGGTTTCCCCTCCTCTGCTCACAGACTTTGGAGCGCCTTGGGAAGTTCCTGGATATGTAGCAAGTGTGGAACCAGTGCCACGTCACTCTCATTCTCTTGAACTCAGAGAAAACTCAATACAGGACCAACAGAAGACTAAGTATCACTTGTATTGAACAATAAGGTTGGGAATGAAGACCCTGCCCCTGGATAAAGGGTAGGAAGGAGCCAAAGGGACCTGGAGGCAGAACTCTGGACTCTAGTGGAGGCGTGCAGGTCCTCAGGGAGCGGAGCGCAGCCCAGGCTATGAGCAGGCAGGCTTGGTTTCCAGAGCACAGAGCTGAGTGTGTCCTTGTTTTCCCCAGGAGTAATTTCCTGTCTGTAGCAAAGGAAGAAAAATGACTGTGAGGAGCCCCACTCCCGACGGCTGAGTCCATCTCTGACACATTTAACAAACCAACCACAGTCCCCATCGACCCAGCTGCAGCGCTGTTTTGGGCAGCTAGCACCAATCACTTGGCGCTGGCCCATGGCTTGAAAACTTCAGCCAGCCTCAGCATCTTCCCAAATGCCCTATGGGGGGAGGTGGGCAAACTTCCCACCCCTCTTTTCCAACCCAGAAGGGCAATGCCTTCCCTTATCTCTATTGTGCATAGCTATGATTGTCAGACCCCCTTCTGAACTCTGCCGCTCCTCCAGGCCATGGCTGGAGCGTGAGCCTCCAGTAGTGTGGCCCCGGGACAGATACTCATGCGAGCTCTGTTTGTGGCAGGTGGCCTTCCACATCCAACCCTACAAAGGCCGGGATGACATCACTGTGCATGACAACATCAAGTACATCATTGACACGTAAGGCCTCCGTGGGGATTGGGATTTTGGTGGGGTTCCAAACAGGGTAGGGGTAGAAGGTTTGGAGGAGCAGATCAAGAGACAGGACAGAATGCCTGCGTTCCCAGCAGCTTTCCCGGTAGGAGAGTGCTGGGCTTGCACCCGGGGAACCTGAGTCCAGTCCCCTTTCTCAGCCTCTCAGGAAAGCCTCCTGGAGTTGTGTGAGAGTTTGAATTCATACATGTGAAAGTGGCCGATATAGCACTTGCAAATATCATTCATTCACTAGAAAACACCCGCTGAGTATCCATATGTGCATCCAGGTGCTGTGCTAAGCCCAGTTAGGCAGTAATGAGTAGAACTGGCCAGGTTTCTGACTTTGTGTTTACATTCTAGAGTGTATTGGGGTGCTGGAGTAGACAGCAATTAAACAGGAAAAATGAAGTGATCTACAGTATGGAAAAACAGTAAAGAATAAAGTAGGGTCTTGTGTCCCAGTGTGCTCACCACCATTCTGGAATGTGTGGTCAACTGAGTCTCTAGGAGACAACATGTGAGCGAACCCCTGAGTGAAGAGTCTGCTCTGTGAAGATCTGGAGGCAGGCAGAAAATGCCAGGCAGAGGGCTGGCAGGCGCAAGGCGGCAAGACGGAACCAGGTTGGCGTGACAGCTGTGTGGAAGGGCCAGATGGGGGCGGAGACAGGTGAGGTAACAGCAGGAATGGAGGTAGGCCAGGCCAGTTGAAGTAGCTGTAGGTCCAGGGAAGGAGCAACCCGATCTGCTTTATCCAGTTTTCTTCTTTTTTGAAGAGAAGAGGGAAGGGCATTTGGCCTAGGGGTTAGGACACCTGCATCCCATATCAGAGCACCTGGATTCAGTTCTCAGCTTCCTGCTAATGCAGACCCTGGGAGGGAGCAGTGATGCCTGAAGTCGTTGGGTTCCTGCCTCCCACATTGGGAGACCTGGGGTGAGTTGCCAGCTCTTGTCTTCGGCTCAGCCTGGCCCTGGCAGCTGTGGGGATCTGAGGAGTGGATCAACAGATGGGAGCACACGCTTTCTCTCTCTGCCTCTCAAGTAAATAAAATGGAAAGAGAGGGAGAGAGAAAGGATAATAGGGAGGCAGGAATGGAAGCCTGGAGACAAGTGGCTGTTGGGGCAGTCCAGACAAAAGTTAGTGGCGTCTTGACTCCGGGAAGGAAAGGGGAGTTTAGCAGTAACGGAGCGGGAGAGAGGAAGGAGGGGAGTGCGGTTCTTGGAGGCACTGACTCCCACGTGGGACTGGCTGGGCCACCCCCACTGCTCCGCTGGTCCCTGCAGTCCTGCTCAAGCTCTTCTCCCCCTGCTCCTCAGGTATGGCTCCCATGGTGCATTTTACCGCTACAAGAACAGCATGGGCAAGAGCCTCCCCCTCTTCTACATCTACGATTCCTACCTGACATCCCCAGAGGCCTGGGCCCACCTCCTGACACCACAGGGACCCCACTCAATCCGCAACACGCCCTACGACGGGGTCTTCATAGCGCTGCTGGTGGAGGAGGGCCACACCCACGACATCCTCGCTGCAGGATTTGATGGCATGTACACCTACTTCGCCTCCAACGGTTTCTCCTTCGGCTCCTCCCATCAGAACTGGAAGGCCGTGAAGAACTTTTGTGACGCTAACAACCTCATGTTTATCCCCAGCGTCGGGCCTGGCTACATTGACACCAGCATCCGGCCCTGGAATAACCACAACACACGGAACAGGGTCAACGGCAAGTACTACGAGACGGCCCTGCAGGCGGCCCTGACCGTGAGGCCCGAGATCGTCTCCATCACCTCCTTCAACGAGTGGCACGAGGGCACCCAGATTGAGAAGGCCATTCCCAAGAAGACGCCGACTCGCCTGTATTTGGACTACCTGCCTCATCAGCCCAGCCTCTACCTGGAGCTGACCCGCCGCTGGGCCGAGCACTTTGTCAAGGAAAAGGAGCAGTGGCTGATGTGAGGCCTGTGAACCCGGGGTGCACGGTGCCGACTTCCTGGCTTCACTGAAGGTGTCACCACGTGGGGCACTGCTGAGGTTGTGGGTGCTCACTGGTCTCAGCAGCTGGGTGCCTCTGGGTGGGCCACCAAGCCTGGGCCCATGTCTAACAGTGCCTGTTCCTCAGGCAAGTGGTGCTGGGGCGCTCTGCAGTGAGAGGAGACTGGGTGGTGTTCCAGAGGACGAAGAGGCTGGCAGGTGACCACGTAACCCAGGGCACTCTGTGGCCTCGGAGCCTTTTCATGTGACCCTCCCAGTTTAGAACTCTGCAGCAGGTTGGTGTCGTGGAGGGAGTGACCCAGGCAGTGCTGTTGGAAAGGTGTGGGCCCTGGGGCGAGCACATACCCTGCCCCTTCTGCCAGTCGGTGTCCTTTCTCCTCAAGTATCTTCTCTAAATTAGGGAACCTGAGACTCTGTCAAGGGGAGTTTCTGGGTTTAAGCTCCTGAACTCAATTACCAGGAAATAATCCCGCACACGGACACATTCATTCAACACCCACTAACTGAGCACCTTCCTATGTGCTAGGTGCTGGAGAAAACTTGAGCAAGGAACAGTTCCTGTCCTGAAGCTTACAGGATCCAGCTTTCCCTCTTTGGTGTGGCCTTGTAGCTAGTGCCTGGGTATGGGCAGAAGTTTTTTTGTTTGTTTTTGGTTTTTTTTTGCAGCTTTACCCAGTGCTGGAGTCGAGTTCTTTTTCCTCTAAGAAAATACCTCTGCACTCCAGAGCCGACTTTTCCTAGATGAACACTGAGCTGCAGGGAGAGGACCAGACACCCCTCCCCATAGCTGCCTGAACAGAATGAGGCCCACTCACCAGAGCCGTTTTCAGTGCTACTGTGATTCGTATTAATTAATTAAATATGACGTGGTATTCTCCAGTAAACATTCCTTTTGCTCTTGAGACCTCATGATTTCTGACCAGATTCTGTGACAAATGGACAAGTAGACTGGGCCAGATAGAGCTTTGGCACAATCAAGAGTGGGTTTGCTTAAACTACTCATTTAAGCAAAATTTCTAAAGGGTATAGTTAGCAAACCACTGCTTATTTATAAACAAACTAATGTGCTAATTTAGGAATCCTAATTAAAGCAGGCACCTGTAGCGCCTTGGCAACAACCACAGGACATACCTGAGAACAGGTGCGCTGGAAAGCACTGTGCTGTGCTTTATGGGTTCAAGACTGAATCCTGGGAACTCGGATCAAGAGGCAGGGGAGGGAGTGGCCCCAGACGCCACCTCAAGGGCATCCAGCCCATTAGGTAGCCGACCCTAAACTGCACTGGACAGCTGAGCAGGCCTGCCCACTGGGCGTGTGGGGAAACCAGGCAGGGGCAGCAGGAGGGGCTGCAGAGCCTTCAGAAGGTAGTGACACTGAGGCTTTGCTGTGTGCGCGCACCATCTGGGCGGGCGCCTTCACGTGGCCAATGGCAAGGTGACAGTTCAGTTCCTTTTGAAGGATGATCTATATCAAGAGCCATAAATGCTTTCATATACTTCAACTAAGTAATCCAATCTAAGGAAGTAATTCAAAAGAAGAAAAATAAACCATTTACAAATATATTTAATAGCAGCATTTTTTTAACATTAAAGAAAAAGTTCAAATGCCCAACAATGTTCAATACTTGGTATACACATGAATAAAGTAAAAGGTTGCCAGAAACACTGGACTTAAGTGTTATGCATATAACTTAGGTAAGAGGAAGCCGCTGGTAAGGCACCCCGGGAATGTTCTGACCTCTCAACGTAGCTTTTGGCTGATACAGGGAAGCACAGGTAATAAATAGAACCTTTCACCCAGGTGAGAAGCTACACCAGTAGCTTCTGCAGCCGGCGCAGTGTTCACAGGCGTGCCGCCTCGAGGTCGGGCGAGGGGCACAGCTCCAGCGGCCTCTGCAAATGAGGCCTCGTCAGCCCGCAGCGGACACACAGTATCCAGCACCAGTCCTCAGGTTGCCTTGAGCTTCACGAGCATGATCCGTGCGAGGGCGACAGCCCGTACTTCTGCTGGAGGATGGCTGTAGTGCTCTCCAGGGCACTGGGGTGGAGAAAAAACAGTTACAGTCTGACTTCGAAAGGCCTGAAGCCCACGACGGCCTGCTGACCGGGGACCTCTAAACTCACTGCTCACCAACCCTTGAGGAATCCTTGTGAACCCCCGAAATGCCGGCAGACACTGGCCGACTTGGTCCCTGCCTCTACTGCTCCTAACCTGCCCACACCCTCTCTGGGAAAGGTACTGAGTGACAACCTTCAACTTGTCAAAGCTCTTTTTTGCATCTTATCTCCCCCACCCCCTTCAAATTCTACTCCCATGCCACAGGAGAGACTCACCAGCCCGGACGAATGATGCCAAACTTTCCAGGCACAGATAAGTCAACCACAGTTGAGCCAAGGCGACACTCGGGGCTCTGGCCTTCCCCAATTGGTCCCCCATCAATGACCAGGGACAAATGAGGCCAGAGGTCTTGGAATTCCTGAGGAGAAAGGAAGAATATGGATGCCATCGCTGGCATCTGCAATGATGTCACACTGCAGGCAGGGTTCGTATGTCAGACGAGGAACTCACAGCTTTAAAGCAGAGGAAAGACCTCTTTAGCTAAGACAGCTGTGCCAAAGACAGCGCATTAGCACATTCAACACTGCACCCTAGGAGGTTTAGAGCCCTCCTAGACTGGTGCCCCAACTAACACCCATCCAGAATTTAAGGAAATTCCACACTTGTTTGCTTGGTGTGGGACGTATAGGTAAAACAACTGTGGTTCTAGGTGGGCATCCACAGAGGCGGGCTACGACTCTGGACTATGCCATTTTCTGTGTGACCACGTTCAAGTTCCTTACCCAGGCCTAAAACACAAGTGGGCTGCACCAGAGTAGTGCTCTGATCACGCTGGACCAGGGCAGGGAGAGGAAAGCAAGGTGGGTCTGCAAGCACGCACGAGCAGCGCTTAGTCCTCGCACAGTGGGGCGGGTGCTGCCACCAGAATGCGGGTGGAGCACCCCTGCCCCCCAGGGCAGACCAGGAAGTAGTGAGGCCTGGGAATTCAGGATGGCGGATCAGCAATCCCAGCTACTGTGTGGGAGCAGGTGCCCCTACTCCTGTTCCTTGGGTCCAGCTAGCAGGACGCAGCAAAGCTCCAGTCAGAGAATGAGAAAGGACGCCAGCTCTCGCCAACCCAAGGCCCTCAAACCCCCTCTTCAGGTCTGGGCACAGAACCAAGTTTAGTAAGCAGAACAGCAAGACAAGTTTCCTTGTCCTCATTCGTTCTAGGCTGCGTAGGCAAAACAGGACCAGGATGACCCTTTCTTTGGCCTGGCTTATGGCAGAGGTAACAGAACAGGTTTAGGAGTCAAAGATTGGGTAAGACGCTGAGTCAACTGCTTAATGGCCGTGTGACCTGCGGCGAATGGCCTCTTTGGAGCCCTAATTTCATACTGTTTCACAGCAGCGGGAAGAGTTACACTCCAGGGGCCGGCGCTGTGGCACAGTGGGCTGAGCCTCCGCCTGCGGCATCACCATCCCGTATGGGCGCCGGTTCTAGTCCCGGCTCCTCCTCTTCCAATCCAGCTCTCTGCTATGGCCTGGGAAAGCAGTAGAAGATGGCCCAAGTGCTTGGGCCCTGCACCCACGTGGGAGACCTGGAGGAAGCTCCTGACTCCTGGCTTCAGATCAGGGCAGCTCCAGCCACTGCAGCCATTTGGGGAGTGAACCAGCGGATGGAAGACTTCTCTCTCTCTGTCTTTCCCTCTCTCTTTTATCTGTAACTCTACCTCTCAAATAAAATCTTAAAAAAAAAAAAACACCCAAAAAACAACAACAAAAAAACCTACTCCAACACTCCAGTTTCCAAGAACTGCGGCCCGGACAAAAACAGGAAAACGATGTTTTACTTTTCGTGCTCCTTCCTACGACTGGACTGACAGCACAGAGGAGACACCCATTCTCTCCCTGACCGCTCAAACGTCGGGAGAAGAATCCTTCACGACTCTTCACTCTGGATGCCCTCCACCCGACCGCCCTCCCTGCCAGCGGGGGTGCCTTTTCACTCCCGCCAGGATTCTAGAGCACTGACAGCCCCACCTCGCAGAGGGGGTAGTGCTGGGCTCGGGGGTTTCCGGGAGAAGGCCTGGGCAACTCACCTGGACGTTCAGAGAACTGGCCTGGGAACTGAGGTTGGCGCTGGTGAGAGCCAGAGGTCCCCCGAACATCTGGGCCAGGTCCTGCATGAAGGCATGGGCAGGAATCCGGACGCCCACAAGCTAGGAGGCAAGGAGAAAGGCTCACTGGAGAGGCCCGAGGGGGTGGGGGACAGAGCTGGTCCCATCCCACCGACCGGAAGCTCCAGGGGTCAGGAAGTCTGGGACAGAAGAACCCAACTCACAGGAGTGAAGGGGTTCAGGTCCTTGTTGAGCTCCTCTGAGCGTTCCATCACCAAGGTCACGGGCCCCGGCAGGAGGTCTTTCAGGAGCTGCTCGGGGACCCTCACGTGGCAGTACCTGGGCAACAAAACAGCACAAATGCATCCCCAGGGACGCGCCACTGGCTGTCACTCCCCAGACTGCGCACGCGGTGCGAACCATCCTCTGAGCCGAGCCGAGCCTCCCCCAAGAGCTCCAGCTGAGGGTGGGGGTCCGGAGAAGCCGCGCATCCGCCACGCAGTGCCACCGCGACGGCAGGGTCGAAGCTCCGTGCTTTGTTTCCTGCAAGGCACTCCCTACTACCCTGAGCTACCACGCTTCCTCTTTCTCCCGTGGGCCTCCCCGCAGGAGCCCACAAACCCCCAGGGAATTGGGCCTCGCCCCCCCCCCCTCGTTGCGCCCCAGTGTCCGGGTTCAGGGCCCGGCTCAGCGCACACTGCCAGTTGCGGATCCCTCGGGAGCTTGGACAAGCCCCTCCCGCTCCCTGCGCCTCAGTCTCCCAAGCCTGTCACCGGAAACCCCTCCCGCGGTGCCGCCCCCAGCGGGGCCGGGTCGGGGCGGCCTCACCTGTAGACGTCGGCCACGCGGCCCAGGCACACGGCCAGCGGCTTGGCCTCGCTGCGGCCCTTGAGGCGGTACACGGCGCCCAGCGCCTCCGAACAGCTCGCCGAGCAGGCCAGGCCGTACAGCGTGTCGGTGGGGACGGCCACCACGGCGCCGGCGCGCAGCTCGGCCACGGCGGCCCGCAGCGCTTCGGTCCAGCCGGCGCGCTCGGGGCTCGCGGCCTGCACGGCTCCGCTTCCCGGGAGCCGCAACAGCCGAGCCCCTGGCGCCGCCGGAGCGGGGCTCGGCGGCCGGAGGAGGCGGCCCTTCCGGGCGGAGCCCGCCGACCCCTCGCTCAACCCCATGCTGGCAGCCACCGCGGCCCTCAGCCCCGTGCAGGGACGCGCCGGAGACATCCGCCCAGGCCCGCTTCCGGGAGGAAGTGACGCGCCCAGCCAGCTTCCGGTCCGGGAGGCTCGGCCCCACCTCCGCGTCGGGCAGCTTAAAGGGACCGCGACCCCCAGGAGGCTTGAAGGAGACCGGTGGGGACGGGGCGGGGCGCAGCTTCGCTAAGCCCCAGCGCAGCGCTGGGGAGGGGGGGCGGCCGAAAGGGGGGCGGTGGTCGGGCCGCGCGGGCGGAGATGGAATGGGGCCCGGGCTCAGACTGGTCACGGGGGTGAGACGGGGCCCGTCGGGGCGCGGGGGGGAGGAAGGACTGGGACCCCGCGCGAGCGCCGGCCCTGACCGTCTGTGTCTCGCTCTCTCCCGGGCAGGGAGGCTGCCGGCGTGGACCGTGGGAAGGCGGGGCTGGGGCTCGGCGGGAGGCCACCCCCGCAGCCGCCCCGGGATGAGCGCGCCCAGCAGCTGCTGGACGCCGTGGAGCAGCGGCAGCGGCAGCTCCTGGACACCATCGCCGCCTGCGAGGAGATGCTGCGGCAGCTGGGCCGCCGGCGCCCGGAGCCAGCTGGTGGCGGGGTCAGTGCCCACCCCGGGCTGGGCCTGGGGGGTGGGGTCTGCCTGCTGGCTGGGCTGGTCAAGCCCTAGCTGTCCCTGGAGGGTGGAAGAGTGTCCCCGCCGCTTTACCCGTCACCAGATCCACGGGTCTGGGCGAGAGGTGTTGAGAAAGTTCAGTACTAGCCAGATGCCCAAGTGGTCATATCCTAGCGGTGCCTAATCCAAGGCCTTCCCTCCCAGGCTCACTTTTTTTCCTTTCTGTTCCAACTAGAACGTCTCAGCCAAACCCGGAGCGCCCTCCCAGCCAGCTGTGTCCGCCAGAGGTGGCTTTGCAAAGGACGCTGGTGACGGAGCTGCAGAGCCCTGACCGTCCCCAAGCCGGGCGCCCTGACTTCTCTCCCTCCCCAGGGCTGGTGGCTGGACTCTGAGCAACTCTCTCCAGTAGAGGGGCTAGTCTTCACTGGCAGTGGCTGGTGCTTGGCCCTCCGCGTGGGGTGGCGGCTCTGCTGCAGCCGGGGGCACTCCCACTTCGTCCTGGTTGAAGGCAGTGCTCTGCTTTGAGCAGCCAAGGAATACCCAGTCTGACACCCGGATTTGGGCAGACCAGCAGTGCTCGCCAGAGTGGCCCGGCCTGCTCTGGGGGATCCGGTGGTGTTACGTGTCCATTTCATGCTTTGGGGACTCCTAGCCCCGTGAAACACCTTCAGCAGAGCCTTTATTAAAAGGAAACCTGCAGACTCTCCTGGTGACCGATCTCTCCTTTCTATCCCTTCTCCAGGACTGTGATGGCTGGGGGGAGGGGGGGAGGGAGGGCTTGGGCAGAGTTGGGAAGAAATACCACAGATGCTGCCATATTTAAATAAGCATTTAATTAGGATTTCATTAGTATTTAATATTGCTTTTTCAATTCCAAAAAGTTAAATTTTCACTTCTTAGCAGATATCTTAAAGTACAATATTAAGTTTATACAAAATGAGCAATTAAGCAAACACCATTATTTCACATTCTTCAAAAATACAAATTCATATTTATTCATTTTTGGGTTTTGGAGGTTTCTTCCTTTGGAAGTACTGAACCTGTAACGTTTTCATATCGCTCAGTGGAAGTCTGTTGTTCCCATGTTTCACACCTAAATAAATTTGAAAGACTTTTACATAATCCAAATAAAACTACTTGGGATGTAAAAAATTGTCACCAAGACCATCGGCCAATGATTAGTATGTGTCACAAAAAGAAGGCTCTCGGGGGCTTCTGCCTTTCCTGGCTAGGAGAGTGGAGCCAGGGGTTCAGCAAACACCTGTTCTCAGTCCTCTTCCCCAGAGGAGGAGGAGGAGGAGGAGTTCACAGGAAAAGGGAACAGCCTCTGACCCCGACCTTCTCCAAAACACAACAAAGGACATCGGCTGTCGAGTCCAACAGTCCTTGCAAGGCCTGAGAACACAGGAGGAAAAGGGCAGGAGACGCCTCTGACTTGGCACCACTACAAGGATATTGCAAAAAACACCCCTGGGGTTGGTGAAAAAAGGTTTTATGAAAAATTTTTCCATAAGAAAAGTAGAAACTGCATTGAGCTGAGAAAGTGACATGCCGTTATCGCCCAATTTTTGGCCCAGCAGGCACACCACCAAAGGGGCAGTGTGTGGATTTAAACCTCACTTCCAGTAAAAAAGCTTGTACTATGTACACGTTGGTGGGAAGATCCAGTTTAGTTTGCATTTTTTAGTGCTGACTGAGAAGCCCTCTCTCGAACAGGACCTACAGTGAGAAATGCCCAGGCGGTGTCGGCAGCCTCCCTGAAGCGCGGAGAAGAGACAGGACCCTTTCCCCCACACCTCCGAGAGCACTCGAGAGGAGACAGGCCAACCTGATGGACCAATCAGAAATATGCGTCATCGGTTTCCCGTTGCTTCCTTCCTCCCCAAGTATTATTAAGGAATGTCCAATGTCCAGTCTAGCTCACGGCAGGAGCATTTGCATATTACATCTGTGAATACCTTTCTGCTTTGGCTGAAGTGCATGTTATAACTTCTCTGTTCTAGAGCCTGAGAGCTGGGGATAAAATGGCAAGGGAGAAGGAAGAAAGTCCATAAGAGAGATTAGATTATGGCAGCTTTGTGTGCTGCAGGCCGCCTTCCTGGAACAGCCAAGGCAGGTGGTATGCGGAGCACTCCTGAAATGACTCCTGTCACCTACCCCCTCACCGCCACTCCCACTCCCATCCCTCCGAACATATTTCTGATTGGTGGTGTAAGGAAACTACAGACTCTCAAGCGACATGGTAGTTCCACAAAGCAGTGGTTTCAGTGACACGGGAGCAGTCTTTACCATGCAGGACAATGGACGTGATCACAAGTCTGAATGGCTAGAAGGTGCCAGGTTCTTACCTAGGAACAACCTGTTCCTTCCTTTCAGGCATCACTTTGTAATGGTGAAGTGGGGAAGCTGGCAAGGGACCAAGAAGTGACGACAAGGGGCCTGAACAGCCCGCAGAGCAGTTCTTCAGCAAGCCTGAGGGGGCGCCCGGGCACACAGGGAAGGCTTGCATAGATGAGCGGTTGCTGAGAATGCCTGACAGAGCTTCCCTGTGGACAGCCTCAGCGCAGGGCTGATGGAGCGGAAACACACGGCCAGGCCGGGCCACGTGGGACAACGACTGTCAAGCTACACATACTGCACCAAGGTAAGTGCTTTGCTTTTCACACCTCAATTTAACTTTTTATTCTGAGCAAAAAAATAAAACTTTGTGGACAGTATATATATATATATATATGTATATATATATATACACACACACACACACACACAAAAGAAATTGCAGCAATTGGGTTAAAGATAAAATAACCTAAAGTGCTTTTTACTTTTATTATTTCTTTAATATACCAATATGAGGTTCTGCAAACTTGTCCCTCCGGACACATTCAGCATTATACAAAGTCTCGCAGGAAAACCCACCCACCCTCCATTAATCCCATCAGTCCACTGCCTTGACCCTGAAAGGCAACCTCTCCAATTGGCTGACTCTCCCCTCGCCCTCTACCCAGAGAGGTCTTCACATCTTAAGGCCCATCCTGGGCTTGGTACCATGATCTCCTTCTAAAGGGAGTGGAATTCAAGAAATGATACCACTCCTGTCCCCACATCTAGTGCTGCCCCCATGAGACTAGCCAGAGCCTGCCAGGAAGGACTGGGCCACTTTCCCCCAGTGCCCCGCCCAGCAGCCTGAGAATGGCTCAGTTCACTAAGGCAGTGTGGTGGTGCCAGCCAGTTTCCTGACCGCCTAAGTCCATACCTGGGGCCGAGCAGCACCCTTTAAAGGCGCAGTCTAACTGGAGATGCTAGCGGAGCCAAAGTAGAAATTTACAAGGTGAAAATGGTTACCATGGGGAGAAAGGCTCAATTTCACCACCTAGAATTCTGTGGATCCTTCCTAACCTTATCCTAGGTTCACTCCTGGGTTTGAGAAACCACTCTCTCCATGAAGGTTCTTTCTGGCTCCTAGCCAGAGGCCTTCTCTTCTCCAGGTCCCTGGTTCTAGAAGCCAGGCTTGTGGTAAGACAGGGAGGGAGAAGGCTGGAAGCAGATGGAAGGAAAGACTGCCAACCCCGTGGAATACACCTGCTCTTCACAACCATTCGCTAGCGTTTTAAACAGAATCCTGATTTTTCAAAAGCTGATTGGATCTTATAGTCTCTTGTAATCTAAAATCACCCTCTGAACGCAGATATTTCAAGTAGAAAGACCTGTCAGCCTAAACACTTTTAAGATATTTCTCCATCACCCCTGATGTGTGGAGAGTGGGAAAGCCGCTGACCTGGGTGGGGCCCAACACAAGCACAGCCCTGGCTAAGCAGGAAGGAACAAGATTTAAACCATCTACACTTCCAGTGTTCTTCCCTGAAAGCCTACTTCCCCCATCACCTCCCAGACAGCCAGAATCCCTGGTGACCCTAGGATGGGCATGTGGGAAGGTCATTACTGCTCTCTGATACAAGCTAATTTTGGGGTCCCTTCTGCTGCGCTCCCAGAAGTTGTAGAGAAAACAGCGAGGGCTTTAGCTCCAAGTTTCCTACGGGGGAATGCAAGGCCCAAAGGCGACCAAGGATGAGCCAAGCTCAGCAGCGGCTGTTCTAGGAGGACCTGACCCAGTGTGCGACAGAAGACGCCTCCTGCTTATCAACTTGTGCTGAGGTCAAAGGTTGCCAAAACCCACCAGCCTTTTGGGGAGGGGAGTGCAGGAGGTAAAAAAAAAATCAATGCTCCTGGCTAGACTCCTGGAATGAACTCGGCTGCTGTTTCTCCTTGCGCAGTACCAGCTCTCACTACCACCATCCTCATCCACGTCGGTCCCTGAGCGTGCCAGCTGAAGGCAGGGAGGTGATCTGCTGTCTGCTGTCTTGGCTGGCCCTGAGTGCCAGCTCAAAGAGCAGGAGAGTGACCCACGCACATCTCTTTACGTCGGGGTGGAAACGAGAGGCAAAATGAGGGCTGCTTTCTGCTGCGCTTGACCTGAAAGTGGCCTGGGTTCTAAGCCGCAGCTCAAGGCAGGGCAGGCGCTCTTGGGGAGGCAAGGGGCCTAGTCCACAGGCTGGGCCAGGCTAGCTTCTGAGCCAGCGCAGAGGAACTTTCCATTCCAGTGTGGAGTCTATTTTATGTCTTATTTTAAGAGGCAATGACTTAGAGCCAAAGGCAGACAGATGGATATAATTCTATACACAACTGAGAAAAACCTTCTTTCCTCTAACACAACTTAATGCAACATTCCAAATGAGATAACTTATTGCAACATTTCAGGCTTTTTGGTGGAAGGGGGATTTTTTCATTTTGTTTTACCCTGAGTATAAGATCATCGTTTTATTTCTTTCTTTTTTTTTTTTTTTTGTCTTTTCCTTTTGTTTAGAAACCACTACGTTGAGCAAGCCACAGCCTGGTTTGCACTGTATATGCAAAATCCAGAAGGCTGAGAAGAGGAGGTGGGGGAAGGGGCAACCAAAAACCTGGCTACGCCTGGAACCAGGACCCACGGCCTGCCAATTCCACACCACCCCCAACTCCCTTAAGTCTGCACCTTCTCCTGATAAGCAAAATGCAGCCCTTCTGCTCTGAGGCAGAAAACGTCATTGAAGGCAGGCAGGCCACCAACCACCAATCAGCTATAGCCACATGTTCACTCTAGGACAAAATAGGCATGTGCCCCAAGGCAAATTCACTGCGCTCTGCAATCCCCGAAACTGACTCCAGGGACCAGGAAGGCAGACTGTGGTCATGTTGCTACAGCCTGCTCTTCACACACATCAGCGACAGACCACACTTAACAACTTGCCCAGGGCCCTGCAGAGCCAGCTCATCCCCACAGCCTGGGCCCGGGCCTGCTGCAGAAGCGGGCTGCAGCATGAGCCCTGTGCTAGCCACCCTGAGCTCCACTGACGCCAAGCGCAAACAACAAAGCCATCTCGCCTGAACTCTGCCTGTCTCACAGCTCTTTCACCTTGCCATGGCCCTCCCGGAGCGGGTGAGGGGCTGGCCTTCAGAGCAGTCTGGAGCCTCAGACTCAAGACACACAGGGAGGAGCAACACCCAACACACTGAACTTTCTGCCCAATCCACAAAGACCCCAGTGCAAGTAAGTGATGGGCAGTGTCAGATTGATGGAAACCACACCCTTTCATTTAGAATTTTTATGCGCACGAGTAACCTTAATTTCCAAGTTCACATGACAATAAGCAAAAGTGACAAACAGTGCAGCCAAACAGTTCATTTATAACTTAGCTTTTTTTTGTTGTTTTTTTTGTTTTTGTTTTTTTTTCCCAAAGATCAGTTCCTTAAAATGGATGCTCCTGGTATGTGAATAAAGAAAACACATCTGAAAGGCGAGGAATTCAAACAGTAGATTTCTTCATCCTTCAAATTCTGACCCCATGATGGTGGGCGTGGCACCTCGCGCCTCCTGCTCGTCCTCGTCCAGGAGGTGAGCACGCGAGCACACACACACTGTTCACTTGGAGAAGCTGCCGGTCAGGCCCATCTCCTCCTCCCTCTGCAGCAGTGCTTCAATGGGAATCAGACTGGACGGGGTGCTGAGGCCCTGGAGGGACAGGAACTCTGACACATCCATGGCACTTATTTCTGTCTGAGAGTACGCAGGAGTCTCTGTTTGTCTGCTTTGCTCACAGGAAGAGGGTGCGGTGGAGGATGACAACAGGGGGACCAGGGGTAATGAAAAAGTCTGTGGAGGCAGCGGCAGGCTGGGTCCATCAGGAGGCTGAGGGTTTGACTCTGGAGGGGGTGGGGAAGAACAGCCCTTTCTCCTGCCAGTCGCCCGCTCCTTGGCAGAGTCCCGGCATGCACACTGACACTGACATGCCTCCTCTTGTTTGATGATGATCACAGGAAGACTGAGGCCAATCTGCTGTACAGAGCTCCCTGCAAGAGAGGCGAGAAAGACACAGGGCAGGGCATGAGGGCCAGGCAGACTGGGTGAGAGCTGAGAACGCTGGGAAGCAGTGTGGTCTTGGCTTTGCTCTGCTCTGAACTGGACCACATTCCTTTTTCAGGTGAAAGGCTTCGGACACACCCCCTGCCTCCAAGACAAAGCCCCTCTTCCTCAGAAGGCCACATACAGGATCTCGATGCCTTCTGCAGTCCCAGCGGTTCTCTGCTGCACCTTCCAAGCCAGCCACAGCACATGCGCCATTTCTCTGACCCGTTCTTTCTGTCTCTTGGCCTGCGGGTCCTCCCTCTGATCTAAATTCCCTAGGTGCTGCTGTTTTTCTGGAGAGTTTAATGTTCATCTCCTCCCTCTTCTTGTGATGCCCCTAGGCAGCGCTTCCCATAGGCTCCTGTGCAGAGGCCTAGCTTGGGTGAAGCCAGCACAGAGCTTCCTGGCACATGCATGGTGCTTTTTTTTTAAGATTTTATTTATTTGAGAATTAGAGTTACAGACAGTGAGAGGGAGAGACAGAGAAAGGTCTTCCTTCCATTGGTTCACTCCCCAAACGGCCACAACGGCCAGAGCTGCACCGATCCGAAGCCAGGAGCCAGGTACTTCTTCCCGGTCTTGCATGTGGGTGCAGGGGCCCAAGTACATGGGCCATCTTCTATTGGCTTTCCCAAGCCACAGCAGAGAGCTGGATTGGAAGAAAAGCAGCCGGGACCAGAATCGGTACCCATACGGGATGCCAGCGCCACAGGCGAGGATTAACCTGCTGCGCCAGGGCGCCGGCCCCAGTGCTGCTTGCTTTCTTCTGCACCTTTCTCTACCTGACTTAACTCTGCCTGCCCAAGAGACTCTGAGCTCACTCATCTTTGTAGGCCCGGTGTTTGCCCCGAGGGAAATGCCAGCCAATCTCTTCCTACACTGCCAGCCTCCGTGTGGGCAGTCTCTTTCTCTTGCTTGTGTTGTGCACGCACACAGTGGGAATGAGGTCTGAGAACCAGTGCTTTGGCTCTGCCGTAAGTTCACCTATGACTGTGGTGGGGGCTTTACTTCCTCTCTCTGGGCCTGAGTTTCTTAATCTGCCACACAAGGGATTTGAATAAAAGGACCTTTCAGCTCTCCATGAGTCTCTGACCCAGATGCTATTTCTTCATTACTGTAATTAGAAAGAGTCCAGTGAATTAACAACTGCTCTCTTTAGCATTAACTGTGAGTCAGACTTTTTTCTGGCTATGTTTAAAGGCTGTATGTGAAAGGAAGGGGCCAGTACGAAGTAAAGAATGTCAAACACAGTACTTATGCCACAAGTGCACTGGCTTTTAATAGTTATGAGAATATGAAGTACTCTCACAGACAATACAATGTGATGAATTTAACGGAGGCTGTTTTAAGATTTCTTTTTTAAAAGATTTAAAAACAGGGCAAAGCAGTAATTTCCTGTGCCTCAAGGTGCTCAGAGCGGACTTGCCTTTAAAGTCAACACAGAATTACATACCTGTGCTACTGGCTACTGGTACTGCAGTGGTGAAGAACACCTTCTCAACTTTAGATGCTTGCTGCTAGGGAGGAAAAAAAAAAAAACATTTATGGCCACTCTGAGATGGCAGACATCCAAGGGCTCAAGCCTTCCCAACTCTAACGGTCATCCAGGAGGACAGAAAACCTTCAGTATTCCGAGGTTTCTGCACTGAGCAACGTTTTGTTTGTGCTCTGATATGAGGTCACTGCCTGTTTGACATTCAGTGCTGACAATGTAGCTAGCTTTGCACCCTACTATTTGGCTGTCTCCCAGCTGCCTAGCCCAGTGGGTTGCTGTACCCAAAGCTTCCTCCAAGGCTGCTGTTCTCAAGCTGAGGGTCTTGTCAGGGCAGCCTCAGTGCTGGCCTGCCCTCTAGGCTTTGCAAGCCCTTCCATCTAGTACTTCTGTGAAGGCTGCAGGTTGGTTATTTCCTTTTCCAGGATTAAGCTGCATGCTAAGGCTTCTCTCACAAACAACCCTGTGAAGGCCATGGGTAGCGCTGAATGCCGCACAGAATAGTTGAAGGGTGGGCCCTGGGCTCAGCCACACCTGGCTACAAGCCCCAGCACTGTCATTAGTTGCTGCCAAGTGACTGAACTTCTTAATCTTAATTTCCTTGTTGAGAAAAGTAGAAATGTTAACCAAAGACCCCCCGAAGGACCCTGTGAAGATAAATGAGATGACGCCTATAGACTCCTCAGCACAGGGTGAGCAGTCAGTAAACATTAGCTATTTATGTTATTACTAAATCCTGACTGGAAAACCACCTTATTTCTCTAATGCACTTCCTAGTAAAACGGCTAAAGGGTTCTGCTTTCTTCAAGTCTTATCTTAAAGGGCTTATCTTAAAGTCTTTTTATGCTTTTAAGGAAAAAACAAATGTGTCTAAGAAGACTCTGGGAGGAAGAGACTCAGGCTTCTGGCAAAGTTACAGGAGATGAGACTTTCATAATGGGGGAGTCCATGAAAGTGCATTATGTGGAAAAACAGTGGTGCTCGTTTTACACGGCAGCCTAGGGCTGCTCTAGAAAAACAACAGACACGACGTGGGGCAGACTGGGCCACACACTGCCAAGTCCTCTCCAGGGACTCTGCCCGCTGGACATGGTGTGCTGCCCCGGGGTGGTGGCCACTCTACTTCTGGAATTCCAGTGTTCTCACTGTTTAGTCCTAAACTCCCTTTCAGGTTTGTGTAATTGAAACACATGTGCACCCACACTTCTACTCCCTACATCCACCCCCACCCCCACCTCCCGCCCTGCGCTGGTTAACTCCCCAAATGGCCCGGGCAGCTGGGTCTGGGCCAGCCAAAGCCAAGAGCCCAGCATTTTTCTGGGTCTCCCATGTGGATGCAGGGCCCCAAGCAGTTGGGCCATTTTTGGCTGCTTTTCCAGGCACATTGGCAGGGATTGGAAGCGGAGCAGCCAGGTGTCGAACCGATGCCCATATGGGATGCTGGCACCGCAGGTGGAGACTTAACCTACTACACCACAGTGCCAGGCCCTCTACTACATTCTTCTCTTCCTCTAACTCCTAACCATGTCTCACCTGACCCCTGTAGCCACTCAATAAGCTCTAGGTGTGTGAAGCCACTTCTGACAGCACAATGGAGCAGCCAAGAGCACAGGCACCAGGGTCAGTCTGCCTACACTCAATCCCAGCTATGCCACGTGTGAGCCATGTGACGCTGAGCTACTTACTTAGCCTTCCTGGAAAAATCATACCTCTTCACTGGTAAAATCATACCTACCTCTTGGGACTGTTGGAATACATTAAAAAGTGCTTACTTAACAGCGTATGACATATAGGAAAACAGGTGCAGCAAAAACAAAAACAAAAACAGTGGTTGCTATGGAAGTAAGGGGAGGGGAGCAGAGATGGGTAAGCATCCTACAGGGAATTTTTAGGGTGGTGAACTAACTATTCTGGATGCTGTCATGGAGGTACCCAACATTCATCAAAACCTACAGAATTGTCCAACACAAAGAAAGAACTGGAATGTACACTATGGACTTTAGCTAATAATAATGTTATCAATAATGGCTTATCAGTGGTAACAAATTTGCCATACACTGTTCCACTATGTAACTGTTATACACACTGTTACACACTTAACAAATGTGCCACCCTGACAGAAGACATTAATAACCAGGGAAACCTGGAGTGAGGGTACATGGGAATTCTATCTGTTCAATAAAACCTAAAATATAATCTAAAAATGGTGTACGTAAAGTAATGACTGACATGTTACATACCTTGTAAACATGACATACATGTTTACAAGGTATTTAGTTATTAGCACAGTAGTCCTTACACAGTGAGGACTCAATAAATAACTATTATTTTTAAATTAGCATTATTATCATCACTTGGTACCTGACTGCTAATACTAACCTTCTTTTAGGCATTCTACGCTGTCTTACTAGAATGTACATTTTTATGAAAAAAGATATCCTGTTTGTCTCTTTGTATCCTCCCGAGCATCCAGTGTGGTATCTTGCAAACACCAGGTGCTTAAATACATGCACACTGCTAGATCTTGTCTAGAGCCATCCTGACCAAACCCTTAGAAACAGGCTCTGGGGCGGGCTCTGGTAGCTCACATGGTTCCCGGGCCTTGGTCCCATCTGACTGGGTCATGCCAGCACCTCCTGTCAATCCGACTGCTCAGCCTGACTGCCTTGCAGATGACCTCATTTCCTGAACCTTGGCCTCTAGAGCTGTTGATACGTCCCTGCACTAGCTGTGGCTATTGGAATGTCCATGAAATATCCGATCAAGCCTCTACTGCGAGGTAAACCTAAAAGTTGTTTCTCTGCCTCCTTACTTTAAGGATTCACCATGGCATTCCCTGAATTGACACCACTCCATTACAGGAAAATGACTAAGAGGATTTCATGCTAGCCATTTCCTTTTTGAAGTAAAGGCCTCTGAACGTGTCAACTATGTAAATAAATATACTCCCCCCCAACCTGGTACATTTATACCTAATACTTACAATTTGTTCCTGGTTTTGTGGAGAATTGGTGGCACCATTTAATATCCACTGTAAGTTCTGTTCTCCCATGACCAGGTTGGACTGCAGGATGGCCGTGCTGGGAGTCGGGGTGATGGTTATAGTGGGATTACTAGTTAGGACAGAGTTGGCACCCAGGGGCAAAGTCTGGACCATGGCCGGCAGGGGCTCAGTAGTACTTTGCGGTGGGGCTGGTGCTGCTGTGGCTGACGCAGAAGCCCCAGCAACAACAGAGAGTCCTGGGACGATGGGCTGCGGTGCCTGGGGGTGCGGAAGAAACTCTTGATGATTAGCAGCAAACTGCGTGCTGTGGGGAACAGGCACTTCTGGAGGTTGTAAGAGAGCAGGGGGGTTGCCAAATGCAGCTTGCTGGGAACCAGTTCCCAGGGAGGGAGCAGGCGGAGGAGCAGACGGAGCTGAGGCTGGTAGCAGAGGCTGAGGTGGCTCGGAGATGACAGGCTGCAGTAGAAGTGGAAGAGATAAAGATGCTGAATTTCCTGTGGGTGGCGGAACATCACTGACTGACTCTGCATCACCATTAAAACTTTCAATCAAGGCAGCTGGCAAGAAAAAGAAATAGAAATGTATATACACATCCCGAGCCTCACAGGAGCCACAAAAACAGTCATCATGGGCTAAACAAAAGACAGCTCAAGTCCCTTGGAGTCAATTCCTTCATTGCTAGCAGGCTGGCTTTCTGTTTTTCTTATTCTGACACACCTCCAGTCAAGGTACCAGGTTCTGTGATTGACCTCTTTCTAAATATGAAGTAGTATAGATTTAACCATAAAAAAAAGGCATCCTAAGGTTTTTCTAGAAAACAGACTAGACCAGGAATATACCTTTTTCTGACATGAGCAGGGAATACACCACTACTGTGGAGCTTCATGGACAGACTGTCATGCGCACAAGGGATGATTTACACACGTGAAGCTGGGTTCCTGGGTGCTATCCACATAGGAACATCTCATCAGAAGAAAAGGCTCACAGCTTCTTCCATTTTTTTAGAGCCAACAAGAGACTATGAGAAAAGGAGACCCTCTTCTTCAGGAGCAAAGGAAAGTCAATCAAAAGGCCCTTATCTTCTGACCTTTCCCAGAAAGCTGGCTGAAGTATCTCACTGTCCCTGTCATTCAGGCTGTCAATGTGTGTGAATTCCCCTCCCAGTGCTGACATGTGACAGCAAGACAGTCTGGCCAACAAACCTGTCTGTTGAGGATCTTCCTGAATTGCTGCATCATCTGAATTCTGGAACATTGATTTAAAGATGGTTGCTGGTGAAACTGTGCTGAGGTCCTGGTCCTGTGTCTGATGGGGAGAGACAGACATGAGACTCACCACCACAGGAAACACACGAAGCAGCAGGGCTGCTACACATCCTGCTTCTACCTTCTATTCCAATGTGACATGTATTTCCTTAAACCTCAACTAAACGAAAGATTAGGTCCTCAAATGCTCTGAAACACGAGTTGGACAACTATGACTTGCAGGTTGATTGCTAATTCTTTAAATAAAGTTTTACCCAAACACAGAAACCTTTCATTTATGTATTGTCTACGCTGCTTCTGTGCTACAACAGAGTTGTGCAGCTGTGACAGAGACCACGTGGTCCACAAAGCCTCAAATATTTTACAGTCTGGTTCTTTATTTGTTATTATTCTTTTTAAAGACTTATTTATTTGACAGTTAGAGAGAGAGACAGAGAGAGAGAGAGAGAGAGAGAGAGAGGGGAAGGAGGGAGAAGAGGAGGAGAAATGGAGGAGAGGAGAGGGGGAAATAGGGAGAGGAGGAGAGAGAGACCCAGCATCCTGAAACTCCCTGGTCCTTTGTTTAGAAAGGCTGACTCACTGCTTGCAATGCCAGCCTCCCTCACTGGAGTACTGGTTCAAGTCCTGGCTGCTCCATTTCCAATCTAGCTTCCTGCTAATGCACCTAGGAAGGGAGTGGAGGATGGCTCCAGTACTTGGACCCCTGCACCCACGTGGGACAGCAGGATGGAGCTCCTGGCTCCTGGTTTTGGCTTGGCCCAGACCTTGCTGTTGCAGCTATTTGGGGCGTGAACAGAGGATGGAAGATCTCTGTCACTCTGCCTTTCAAATAAATAAGTAAATTAAAAAAAAAAAAGTTTCCTTATTCCTGCTCTAAGAGACCAAATCCACATGAAATTGGACTATATATAATATCATTATTACGGTCTGAACATGTTTTGTCCCCAGCGAAACTCATGTTGGAGTTTAATCTCTGTGAGGTACTGAGCGGCCAGAAACTAGGGTGTTTAAAGGCAGGCTTTTGGGAGGTGATTAGGATCAGATGAGGTCATTAGGGTGGAGTCTCAGGATCAAATACCAGTAGCTTTAATAAGAAGAGGGAAAGACCACGAAGTACACACACCTGTCTCTTGTCCCTTACTTTAAAGCCTACTGTGGTATTGTGTTATTAGCAACAGAAAATGAACCAATATAATTACCCTGTAACTTGCTTTTCTTACATAATAAAATAGTGTGAGTATCTTCCAAGGTCGTTACTTAGTATTTATGGTATTTTAATATATACACAAGGCAAGAAAACAATACAAAGGAACATACAACAACTCACAATAGTGATAGTCTTACACTTAAAAACAGATGAAGGTGGAGGACACCACAACACAGGGCCTGGCAGCACTAATAAAATGACTATTCCTCACTTCAGTCAAGGGAAGGAAGAATACTACAATTCTCTTATCTGCAGTCTACCTCTACCCCTGCGTTCAGAAGGACAAGTGTGACAAAGGCTTACAGAAGTCCAAGCAAGGGACAGAAGTAAGTGAAGCAGGGGGCAAGAATAGGGAGGCTACCACAGACTGGAGAGGATGCCCCAAGGCATTTGTTTATTTTACCTAAAGATTTATTTAGTTACTTATGTATTTATCTGAAAGGCAGAGTGAGAGACAGATAGAGGAAAGTCTTCCATCTGCTGCCTCATCCCCCAAATGGCCACAATAGCTAGGTCCAGGCCAGGCCAAAGCCAGGAGCCTAAAACTCCATTCAGGTGTCCCACATGGGTGGCAGGAGCCCAAGGACTTGGGCCATCTTCTGCTGCTTTCCCAGGCACATGAGCAGGGAGCCTGGCCTGAACCAGAGCAGCCTGGTCTCCAACCTGCGTGCCAGTATGGGATGGGGGCGTTAAAACAGGCAGCTTAACCCATGAAGCCATATCAGCCCCACCCTCAGGCAACTGAGAAGGGCTTCGCTGAATGCTGTCCAGGACTATACTGACCAAGGATTACCAGAGCCACGAAAGGGGCATTATTGGGATTTTTTAGAATTTTATTTGTTCAGTTTTATCTTACTGGAGAGAGAGAGAAAGAGCTTCCATCTGGTGGCTCACTCTCCAAATGCCCACAAAATGTGGAGCCAGGTTGAAACCAGGAGCCCAGAACTCAATCCAGGTCTCCCGCGTGGGTGGCAGGGACCCAATCACTTGAGCCATCCCCTGCTGCTTCCCAGAGTGCACATCAGCAGGAAGCTGAAACCGGAAGTGGAGCTGGGACTCAAATCCAGTCACTCTGATACAGGATACGGATCTCTTGACTGCTGTACCAAATGTCCACTCTCAAAGTTTGATTTTTAGATAAAATTCTACTAATTTATAAAACGACAATGAAAACTTTCTAAGCACTGTATATACCAAACCAAAACCTATCTTCAGGCCAGATCTTGCCCTAGTGTCTGCTAGCGTTTCAGGGTCACTTGAGAACAGTTCTGCTTCTAGGATGGAGAACTCAGGGCTGTCCACCTATCTAGAGGTCAAGATGAAAATGCTCTCTGAAACCAGGAGGGGGCCAATCCCTTTAGCATGATTTCATCTGGAAAAAACAGAGGGAAGTCCAGTGATTCTGAATGCCAACATGACGGAAGCAGAAGGCAGAAACCTCCGTGCAATGTCACCCAGAGAGAGTTAAGCCTCACCGTGTGGCTTTCAAACCTTCCTTGTGACACAAAGAGATAGATACATTTTACTATATATACACAAACATATATTTTCCAATTACACGCCTATCCATATGTGTAGCTGAAACACAGCTTACCCTTCCTATATGCAATGTCGCCAGATATTTTCTGTTTATGTCTTTGAAATGCTGATTGCAAACCACTATTTTATAATCTAATGAAGTGCTGAAATCCAGGTTGACAGACAGTGGGCTCACTACCACTAAGCTGCATGCTTTGCAACTTCCTTGTGGTCATTATTTTGTTCTACTTGCTAATAAATCACCATCAACGGTAACACGATTAAAAAAGAATGGGCTTGGGGCCAGGGCTATGGTGTTGCGGGTAAAGCTATATGGGCGCTGGTTCAAGTCCCGGATGCTCTTCTTCCGATCCAGCTCTCTGCTATGGCCTGGGAAAACAGCAGAAGATGGCCCAAGTCCTTGGGCCCCTGCACCAGTGTGGGAAACTTGAAAGAAGCTCCTGGCTCCTGACTTCGGATTGGCATAGCTCTGGCCAATGCGGCCATTTGGGGAGTGAACCAGTGGATGGAAGATTCTCACTCTCTGCCTCTCTGAAATTATGCCTTTCAAATAAATGAATCTTAAAAAAAAAAAAAAAAGTAGTGTTCATAGAATGGATCCAACCCAGAAAACTATCCAAAAGCCTAAGAAGAGAAAGAACCAAGTGTAGCATATTCATTTAGTGTTACAGAGTTCAACAACAATGATGATCTGTAACTATGAGCAAAAACATGGGCTGATTTCTTAAACATAACATGGGGAGAAAAAGACCTAGACCAAGTATACAATCAAAATTACAAAAACCCAAAACCAGGACACTGATCTTCACTGTTAGAAGTCAAGACAGTGGTTATCCTCAGGGAGAGAGAATGGCTGTTGAGGGCTTGGTGGGTTGCAGGGCTGCTAGGTACACTGTTTCTTGAGCTGGGTACTGAACACACAGGAATGATAAATTGTGATGAGTCATCAAGCTCTGTATTTGACACATGAGCTTTTTTGTGTATATATCACACTAGTAAAAATTGTTTTTTTAATTAAAAAGAAAAGTTAAGTACTGAAGCCACTCCCAGGTTTCAAGCAAAACTTCTGGGAACACAGTGAGTGAGAACAACTCTCCAAAGTAGAGGAGATAGGAACAGGCTGAGTTCAGGGCCTGGAGCAAGGAGCAAAGAGCAGCCAAAACACTGAGAGCTGTGTGGGACCAGGCTGGATGCCAGAGCTCAGTGGGCCATTCCCTAGCAGCTTCAACCATCCTTTAACAAAAGGCCGGAGTGAATCAAAGTTCATTGCTAAGACACACATACACATATGGTAGCTAAGAAATACTTAAAAGGATTATTTCATACAAATTTACCAATTGATTTTAATAAGTTCTCATTTTTAAAAAGCAAAGCAGGGGAGCCTGCAACGGCTGGAGCTGTGCCAATCCGAAGCTAGGAGCCAGGAGTTTCTTCCAGGTCTCCCACATGGGTGCAGGGGCCCAAGGACTTGAGCTATCTTCCACTGCTTTCCCAGGC